CAAACTAGGTCATACAAAACATACAAGACCAATTCTTGAATACAGCTCATCTGTCTGGAACCCACACTGCATATCAGACATTAATACAATCGAACAAATCCAGAGATATTTCACAAGAATAGTCCTCCAGTCCTCTGCTCGCAACAGAAGACCTTATACCACCCGACTTGAAATTTTGGGCTTAGACAATTTTGGACTTCATGTCTTCAATCCGACCTGTCAATGAATGCTTCAGCTTCAACCACAATAGCACACAATAGATACAAACTTATGATTTGCAGAAATACAACTTTAGTAAAGAGTTGTCAATGCCTGGAATGCACTACCTGACACTGTGGTTTCCTCCCCAAACCCCCAAAACTTTAACCTTAGACTGTCTACTGTTGACCTCACCCCATTCCTAAAAAGTCTTTAATTGCAACCCAGTCCGGTGCAGTACAGGGGTATGAGCGCTTGGGGACAGCTCTTCACTGGGGCCCTGGCAGACAGCCCACTACAATCTCTTGTTTCATGTCTCCATCCATGCAAGTTTGCTAACAGGAGCAACTGTGCTCGTGACTGGTTTTCACTGGAAGCATGGCGCAAATTGCATGGCCTCGAGCAAAGAAGCTCCCAGAAATGGATTGTTTACAGCTGGTCTAGGCCAGCCTTTGCAGAAATAACAAAAATGCTCAGGAACTTGTATTTGAGAGTAAACCTCTGAGTTTTATTTGTGCTACAGACAAGACCTTAGCACACAACTAGTTAGGAGAACCAATTAAAGCCAGCATTGGGAGTCTCTACTTTCCAGCGCTTCTCATAAGTTTCCAGTAGCCACCATCCGGACTTGCTCCCTCTCGCAGCTGATTGCTCTTTAGTCAGTTCAAACAGCCTGTCTGGCTGCTCAGCGCAGCGCTAGTGTGTGTGGGGGGGCACTAATGTGACATCATTACCCATCAACACCTCTGGCAACTGTCTCCTGCCGAGAGTCAGTCCCTTACAGCCGCTTCAAGTCTGCACCCCCTGTCTGAAATAATTCGACATGGCACTTTGTGCAAATGATAAAAATGTGTTGGAGAAACATCCTTGCCAATTTCCGTGCCAACGGTATACTCTTGTATGGGATGAAATGAGCTTCTTTTGAAAACAAGTCTATCACTGTCCATATCACTGTATGTCTGTTGCTACTGGGTAGCTCCATGATAAAATCCATAGCGATTTCTTCCCACAGACAGATGGGATCAGACACTGGTTATAACAGCCCAAGGGATTTTGCGGGCCTCCTTTTAATGACTGCACAAAGGTGACAGGTTTTTTTTTTTTAATTAAAAATTTAAAAAGCTTTTACAAATATTTACCTNGGTTGACTCAGCCTTCCATCCTTCCGAGGTGGGTAAAATGAGGACCCGGATTGTTATTGGGGGCAATATGCTGACTCTGTAAACCGCTTAGAAAGGGCTGAAAGCCCTATGAAGCGGTATATAAATCTAACTGCTATTGCTATTGCTATGGCTAATTTATTAAGCTAATCCGATACTTGTCTTCGAAAAGTCAGCTTAAGTGGGTTGAATGTATCTGGTGACACTGTCCATCCGTAAAGTGAGTCCACCCATCCCTTCGCTCTGGAGTAATGCACCCAGCCTCTTTCCTTGGTTCACACAGCTGACTTAGTTGTTAACAGTACTTGGTACGGGCCTTCCCACACTGGTTGCAACTTCTTCTCCTTCAGAGATTTGATCAGGACCCAGTCACCACTTCTGTAATCATAGACTTGGAAATGAAGCAGACTATTTGTGCCAATAATCCCTTGGACCTTAAATGAGAAAAAAACTGGGACAGTCCTTGTACATATTTCTAAGAAAAACATCTTCTATTCTTGGCATTCCCACATTTCTAGTATAAAGCAATTCAAACATCATTTCATACGGTGATATTCCCACATCTTTCCTTGGACTGGTTCTCATACGTAAAGAGCTAAATGCAAATATTTAGTCCAAGGTAAATGGAATTCTAACATTAATTTTTTAAAATATATTTTTCAGGGTTTGGTTCATTCTTTCAGCCTTCCCAGAGGAAGTTGGGCAATGTGCCAAATGATATTGCCCAATTCCTAATTGCCCCATTACCTTCACTATATGTGCCATAAAATGTGTACCTGTATCACTATCAATAGTTTCCACCAACCCATAACTAGATATTATCTGGTCCAATATGATTTTAACAGTCATTTGAGCATTTGTCCTTGCACATGAAAAAGCTTCTACCTATCCAATCAGGTGGTCTACGATCACTAATAAATATTTCAAAGTACCTACTGCTGGCATTTCAGTATAATCCACCTGGTTTTGCTGAAAAGGCCATACAGCCAAATCTTTTTCCCCCGCTACATGTAGCCTCATAATCTTCTTATTTATTCGTACACAATGTATACATTTTCTTACTACTTGTATTACTATAGTATACATTTCTTTGCAAATGTATTTCCATTGTACCAAATCAATTAAAGCTCGTGTTCCTTAATGAGTTCCCTCATGCTCTCTTTCTATTATATTTCTCATAATTGGCTTATTTACTATTTGTAACCCATTTATTGTAATCCATTTTCCATTCATTTTCTCTGCCCCCTTTTCAACCATTTGTTTCTCCTCATCGTCATTGAAATTAGGTTGCAAGTCACATTCTAACGTAGTAATCAAAATCATTAATCCTCTAGTTAGAGTAGGAATCAAAATCATTAATCCTCTAGCTATGCTGCCTCTTTTGCAGTTTCATCAGCTAATTTATTTGCTATAATTTGCTTCGAATTTCCCTTCTTGTGAACCTCAATAGCCAGCCGCTTTGGATATTCAGCTGCCTTTAATACAGCTTTAATAAGAGCCACTTGTTTTACTTCTTTACCTTTACTAGTTATTAATCCCCTTTCCATCCAGATTTTCCCAAACGTATGCAAAATTCCATAAGCATATCTAGAATCTAGGTCGTGCGGAGCAGTGGAGACGTGATCTAGATTTGAGGGGCATTAAGATCTTGCCCTTGTCATGGTCTGATCACTTCCTACTGAGGCTTGACTTTCGGAGGCCAATCTCCCACTGTAGGGAGGAGGAACCGACTAAGTGGTTCCACCCCAGACGCCTGATGGACCCTATGGGACCCTATGGGCGCTTGGAGAAATACGTGACGCTCTCGTCCACAATCCGGTGGAGTCCTTAGTCGCTGCTTGGAATACAGCAGCGGCGAGGGCCCTAAACCAGATTGCGCCTTTACGGCCTCTCCGAGGTAGTGGATCCAGGAGACTCCTTGGTTCACCGAGGAACTCCGCGAGATGAAGCGCCAAAAGAGACGCCTAGAGCACTGTTGGAGGGCCAGTAACTCCGAGTCAGACCGAGCACTGATGAGAGCCTTTATCAGGACCTATCTCGTGGCAATACGGGCGGCGAAATGTGCACATTTTGCCGCTCTTATTGCATCCACTGAATCGCGCCCAGCCGCCTTGTTTAGAATAGCCCGCTTCCTCTTGAAAGGGAGGGATGCGGACGACCCTTTTACAGGGTAGAGCTGAAGAATTTGTTCAGTTTCTAATGGATAAAGTCGCTCAGATTCGGGCAGATGTAGACTCCAATTGCACGGTACCAGCCGAGGTACCGTGGG